TGGACCCTCATTTACTCCTGAAACCCCGATGGAGTAATCTTTGGGGTGGCTTATACTTTGGGAGGAAGATGGATGTTAAGAAAATAATTAGAAAGACATATTTGGGGGCAATGGCAGAAGGCAAAGAGGAATAGAGACCAAACCTGGGAGGGACCACCTGGTAGGAACCAAGGCTTCAGCCTGCCACTGGGTCAGCTTGGCACAGAGCAATTATGGAGGGGAAGCTGGTCCAGCTGAGGATGGCCAGAGGAACACATTTGACATCACACTTTGCAAGACTCTGTTGAGAAATCAGTACTGTATCCGGCGTCCTTTACTCTGGGAAGGTGTCTTGTACAGAGTCGCGGGGGTGGGGGGAGGGCCTTGAGTTGAGGCCATGATTGCTTCTCTTTTCCACTGCCCACTTCCACAGCTGCTCTTCACTGGGCAGCTGGAGTGGTCAGGGAAGTTGCCAATGCCAGGCCATCTTCCATTGGCTAGAGCCAGCAGGAGCTGGAGGTGTTAGAGACTGGAGCTTGGAGCAAGAGAGGGTGTAGGATACATCCCTGACAGTGAAAGGGTCACTCCTCATACTCTCTAAGAGGACATTTCTTGTCTGTTGATGACTGTTCAAGTCATCAGATCATCTGTGCCCACTTGCAAAAGGTCATTATACCTGTGTTTGTTGACTGTTGACCGTCCTTCAAGAAGGAGTGGATGGGAGGGTTGTGAGTCTCCTCCAAATCAGTTGTAGGCAATTCTGCACTAATTGAACATAGCCTCAGAGAGGGGCTAGAATATATAGGCAGGGAAGGACTAGGGGAGGGGGCTTCATCTATACAGTCATAGGGGAATCTTCATCCATGCTGGGTGTAGACCTTCCAGTGAGGCTGCATTAAGGTCGCCCATGTTCCTACCCATCACCCCTCACCCATGGCTGTGTAAGTAATGAACTCATTGCTTCCCCAGAGTGAACTTTGATGGAATCTACCTCTGTTACCGAGACCCTAGAAGAAGGGGTAGAGATTGTTTATGTCTCCCTCAGGGAGGAATGTTGTGGGATATTTGTACACTGTGTGAAGATGTATTGCTGTGATGGGTTTAATAAAGAGCTGAATGGCCAATAGCTAGGTAGGAGAGACTAGGCAGGATTTCCGGGGAGAGAGAGAACTCTGGGAAGAAAAAAAGAGAGATGCCAGCAAGACGCTGAACAAGTGGGATGTACAGTACTGGAGAGAGGTAACCAAGCCATGGGGCAGAATGTAGATTAATGTAAATGGGTTAATTCAAGTTATATGAGCTAGTTGAGAACAAGCCTAAGCTAAGGCTAAACTTTCATAATTAATAATAAGTCTCTGTGTTGTTATTTGTGAGCTGACGGCCCAAAGGAAAGTCAGACTACAGAGGAATTTCAGCAATAGTACTACTTTCTCCATTGCTTTTGGCCCATGAGTTTTAAACTTGAGTCTAGATTCTAGAGTTTCAGGACCCTTTTTTTTTTTTTTTTTTTTTTGGTTTTTCGAGACAGGGTTTCTCTGTGTAGCTTTGCGCCTCTCCTGGAACTCACTTGGTAGCCCAGGCTGGCCTCGAACTCACAGAGATCCGCCTGGCTCTGCCTCCCGAGTGCTGGGATTAAAGGCGTGCGCCACCACCGCCCGGCAAGGACCCTTTTTATTACATATTTTACTCATCTATTTATTTTGTGTCTGTGTGCACACCCACGAGTGCACGGTTGGTATGTGTCTAAGTTGTGTTGAACATGTGGAGGTCAGAGGACAACTTGCAGCAGTTAGTTCTCTCCTTCCACCGTGTGGGCTCTGGGGATACATCTCAGGTCAGCAGGTTTGAGAGCCAGTGCTTTTTACCCACTGTGATGGGTGATTAACCTGTGATGGTTGATACCGTCAACTTTATGGGACCTAGAGCCACGAGGAGACCAGCCTCTGGGCATGCTGTAAAGATTGTGTTGATTGGGTTAATGGAGATGGGAAGACTCAGCATGAAAGTGAGCCGTTCCTTAGGCTTGGGTTCTCCACCTCACAGGAAGGAGAAAGCCAGCTGAGCAGGAGCATTCATCGGTCTTTGCTTCCTGACTGTGGATACAAAGTGACCAACTCCTTCAAGTTCCTACTGCCCACGTCCACATCATGGTGGACTGTGCCATCCAACCTCATGCAGGGCATTTTAGCACCAGGAAAGTAATTAAAATCGGTTTGATTCTCGGCACCACAAAAACGAAGAAAAAAGACTCCTTACTCATGTTTGCGGTCAATCCTGTTCCGGTATCTGCCTCCTGTCATGGGCAGACAACCCATATATTTTCTGTTCCATAGATTTGCCTTCTCTGGACATTTTCTTTAAAAAGAATCACATAGTACGTTATCTTCTGTTCTAGAGCCTTTCACTTAGCATACCCTCCCCCAACCCCACGCTGACCTAGAACTCACTATGTAGGTCAAGAGGGCCTGAAATTCCGGAGTGTTAGGACTGTTAGGTATGTTCCTTTCAGTCTTGTTCATGAGGCACCACATTCAAGGCATCCCACAGTGTGGATACACTTTCATAGTTTTTCTAACCATGTCCCTAGTCATGGATATTTCGGCTGTGTCCAAGTTTTGTCTTTTACACATGATGCTGTGACAAATCCTCTCCATGGAAGCTGTGTGAGCATGACTGTCGGTTGGACAGGGTTCTAAAAGTGCGATTCCTGGATTAAAGAGTGTGTGTATTAAAATAGAAACCATCGACCATCAACCAGGTGTGGAAGTGCACGCCTGCTATCCCAGCGCTCAAGAGGCTGAGGTAAGATGGTAAGTTCGAGACTGGCCTGGTTTACATCAGGAGACTGGAAGCTGTCTTGATTTGCTGAATAAAGGAAGCCCATCCCGCAGAGCCTGGGAATGTATGTGGAGAGGCATCATCAGCTCAGAGGGAGATAGATCAGGAGCAGGACAGAGGGTGTTATTGTGAGTAGAGGAACATAGTTCAGAAGCCGGAAAAAGCGGGTTCCGTTGAGACAGATCCAAGTGGAGAGGGACTGGGTCCTTAGACAGCCGAGGCCCAGACTCACGCGAGGAAGAGAAGAATTAGCAACTCAAAGGCAGCTCTGGATTTGCCCTTCTCCTGTGATGCTCTGACTGGTGAAGGATTTGTGCCAAGACTGTTCATACGAGGTGGGGGTGGAGGACCAACATTCGCATCAGCGCGATTCAGTCTCAGCTTCTTTTGCGCTGGGTGTTTGTATCCTCCTGTTTTCTGCGCATAATGGCATTCCCAGGCCTTGCTTCGGGGAGCAGAGAGCAGAGACCTGGAACACAGGTGAGCCTTAACGGACTCCTCTCTCTGACGGTCGTCTTGAGGAGCCATCTGGCCAGGCACTGTGCTCAGGCAGAACACCACCAGTCACCTCTGGCAACTATACATGTCCTTCAGCATTTCCATCCTGCTGAATCAGAGGCGCAGCTGAGTCACACTTGTTCCTGATTCCGAGTTCCATGCAGGGCCTGGCATTGGATCGGGCCTGGAACAGGAACTGGGATACTGACTTATTAACTCTTGGCTGCACATTTTCATGAATTGTGGACGCTAACTCCTCTGGAGCCTCATTCTGCCCTCCTGCTTAACCTTGCTGAACTTCAGTCTCTCTTGCTTTCCTATGTCCACAGCAGGCTGCACAGAGACAGGAACTGTCCCGACAAAGACCCTTCAGAGACAAACCCTGCTTGTTTGGGGCATTGCTGTGTCCCCAACCCCCTAGAAGATCTGTCAGTCAGGGTATATTGATGAAAGAGTGATTCAGGGGCTGGGGATATAGCTCAGTTGATAGTGTGTTTGCTAAGCACGTACCAAGTCTGGGTTCAACCCCAACACCATATAAGACAGGCACAGTGATGCACATCTGTAATTCTAGCACTTGGGAGGTGGAGGCAGAGAATCTTTTGATGAAGTTCACTCCTAGTCGTATAGGGAGTTTCAGCCCAACCTGGGATAGGTGAGACTATTTCAAAACCCAACCCAACCCAAGCTCAAATTTACCCCTCCCTGCCAAAAACAAGAATGACTCAAACCCCTTGTCTCCTCTGACAGCTTACAAATCACTTCTCCACTCTGAACTAGTGCCTGCTTGTCACACCTTGAATGAGGGTGGGTGTTGGAAAGGGGAGGAGAACTCAGTGAGATCTGTTGAAGCTCCCGTGGTCTCCTGGCCTCCCTGCTTCTACAAGGCGCGGAGCTGGTGAACTTCCGACCCTCTGCATCTCCTAAGCCTCTTCCTGATGCTTTCGAGGGCTGTCCCATCCGAGGACCTGGAACACTGGAGGAATCCAGCACACATTCCCCCAGTGATCCATGTTCAGCCAAAGGAGGCTTGGGCTGGGCGTGAAGGGGCGGACAGGCAGGGCTCTGTCTTCATCTTTTCACTCAGGGGACAGTGAGATGACTCAGCCAGTAAGGACCCTTGCCACCAAGGCTGATGACCTGAGTTTGATCCCCAGGAGCCATATGGTGGAAGGAGAACAGATTCTGACCTACACATGTGTTCTCTCTCTCTCTCTCTCTCTCTCTCTCTCTCTCTCTCTCTCTCTCTCTCTCTCACACACACACACACACACACACACACACACTGAGAGAGAGAGAGAGAGAGAGCTTTTGCTCACTGTTGCTCAGCTTCTGCTTGGAAGTACTGAAGTAAATACCCAACTACAGTGATTTATATAGTTTAAAAAAGACATTTAATGATTACACTTTACAAGAAATTAAAGGTAGATAGTTATGCATTGGTTCAGTGGTTATAGTACCTTTTTAGACTTAGATTTTTTTTTTGACAAACTGAGGTAAAGCGTACACAACAAAATTACCATTTTGACTTTTGTTTTTCATTTTTTGGGGTGCTAGGGTTTGAGCCTGAGTTCTCAGAACCGTTAAGTAAGGACTCCACAAGTGAACAATATTGAGCCCTCATTTTAACTTTTTTAATGCAATGTCACGGAGCACTTTCACACTATTGCCCAGTAATCAGGGTCCACCTTCAGGACTCTTCCATCATCCTAAATTAGGGCTGTGTCATCAGACACCGACGCCCACTCCCCTCCGCCATCCAGCCTCTAGTCACCATTATCTGGTTATTCTTGGTACTTCCTACATGTAAACATGCAAGGTTTGTCTTGGGGGTCTTGCTTCTGCCACTTGGACGCACACTTTCAAGGCTCACTCATGTGGCAACATGGGTCAGCTTCCTCATACCCCCCCACCCCGGCTCGGAGCTGAGGACCGAACCCAGGGCCTTGTGCTTGCTAGGCAAGCGCTCTACCACTGAGCTAAATCCCCAACCCCATGGATCAGCTTCTTATTCCTTCTCATTGTGGGATAGTCTCCTGTGGTGTGCACAGACAATGCGTAACTTACCCATTCATTCATCGGCCATCATTTTAGTTGTTTTGACCTTTGACTCTTAGGACTCATGCTGCTGTTAGCATCAGCCTACAAATGTCTGAGCCCTTGTTTCCAATTCTTTTGGGTACCTACTTAGCGGTGGACTTGCTGGATTACGTGGTAGTTCTATATTTAATGTTTTAAGGAGAATGATATGCTGTGTTCCACTGTGCCTGGGCTATGGTTCATTCAGGTTTACCAGTAAGTTAGAAACTTTCCCTTTCTCTACTTCCTTGATGATACTTGCTGTTTTCTCTCCTCCTCCTCTTCCTCTTCCTTTTACTGATAAGGATTCTGATGGGTAGGAGAAATTATCTCACTGTAATTTTAATTTGCGCTTCTTAGAAAAGAGTGTTTGGGGTCCAGTGTTAGGATGGACCAAATTTACCAGTAGTCATACCAATACGGAAGGGGAGTGAACAGCCAGGGTAGGGGTTCTAAACCTACCTCTGCAATGGGGGATCTGGTAAGAATATGGCCTCTGTCTCCCTGTAACTGTATGTGTGTGGACTGCATCAGTTCAGATACCAGAGTCTGCGGACATGAGCCATGTTGGAGGACAAGAAGGAACCCCGAGGGGCCACAGTTTAGGTGGACAGTCTTAGAGGGTAGTGGAGGTGTTCCCCGAAGACGAGCCAACAAAAGAAGGCCTGCCCTCCTTGGCTAAGAACTCCTTGCTGACAAGGCCATGAGTAGCCATGATCTTGAGGAGTCCATAGCGAAACTTCTGGCCAATAAACGCATAGATGATGGGGTTAAGGCAGCTGTGGAGGAAGCCAAGGATCTCGGTAGCATTCAAGGCCCTGTCAATGTCATTGCGGCGCTTACAGGTCTCCTGGATCTGTTTGGTCCTCATGAGGGTGTCTGCAAACAGGACCAGGTTGTAGGGCAGCCAGCAGAGCAGGAAGACAAGCACGACGGCAAAGATGACCCGCATGGCCCGGTGCTTCTGCCCCATGTGGGCCTTAAAGAGCGTGCGCAGTGTGAACCCGTAGCAGAACAGCATGATCAGCAGTGGGATGAGGAAGCCGAAGGTCTGAGGCAGGAAGCGCAATACCACCCTCCACTTGGCTGTGTTGTTACCTATGTCCTCATAGCAGACTAGGGTTAAAGAGTTTGCCTTAACGGTATTACGAAAAATTAAGATGGGCAGGGACACAAATACTGACAGTACCCACATGGCTATGCATACAAACTTGACCAAGTGTCTCTTCTGGATCAGTGTGCTTGTGGCATGGACGATCGCCAGGTAGCGGTCCATGCTGATGCAGGCTAGCAGCAGGACGCTACTGTAGAAGGTAACTTCCTTCAGGAAGGAGAATATCTTGCACATGGCTGGGCCAAAAGTCCAGCCCTTTACCTTGGATGCAGCCCAGAAAGGCAAGGTCAGGGCAAAGAACAGGTCGGCAATGGCTAGGTTCAGCAGGTAGACATCAGTGACAGAGCAGGTGCTCCGGTTGTATAAGATGACCAGCATCACCAGGGAGTTTCCCAGGAGGCTCAGCAGGGTTACCAGGACATATATTACAACCACAGCGTATCTGTTGATTTCTAGGTTTTCGGGGTGGCATGGGGCAGCATTTGGTAGAATGGGGGGCAGGTTAGAGCTATAATTGAAGCTATCAATATCTCCACTGAAGAATTCTTCAAGGTTGAAGTTATCCACCATGATTTCTCCCATTTTTGAGGTAAACTTAATCCTGTCAACAGAGGAGAGATGACGGTTAACACGCAGCAAAGTCACCCTGATTCTTGCCTATCCACCCAAGGAACTGGGATCTCAGGATTCATTGCATTGGCTTGCATATTACAAAGAAGACATTTTTTTCCTTCAAATTTGAAAATGATAGCAGTAATCATTTGAGACAAAATAGTAGACTTTTTTTTTTTTTTTTTTGAGTGGGGATAAAGACTACAGTTCTCAGCTGGGCAGTGGTGGTGCATGCCATTAATTCCCAGCACTCAGGAGGCAGAGCCAGGCAGATCTTTGTGAATTCGAGGCCAGCCTGGTCTACAGAGTGAGATCCAGGACAAGCACCAAAACTACCCAGAGAAACCCTGTCTCAAGAAACACACACACAAAACAAAAACAAAAACAACCCCAAAACTATAGTTCTCTTCAAGACATTTTTTTTTTCTTCTTGAAGTAGGGTCTTGGTTGGGCTCAAAGTTGCTGTGTCTCCAAGGATGTACAAATACATTATATACGTGTGTGAAAAAGTTATAACTAAACTCATTATTATGCATAACTAAAATATGCCAATAAAACACTAAAAATAAAAAGGTTAATTGGAGAGCACACAGTCTTACAAAATAAATAAAAATATTAAAGCAATAATAATAGGAAAAAACAAAAAAATGGGGCTGGAGAGGCGGCTCAGTGGTTACAAGCACTGGCTGCTCTTGCAGAGGACTCACGTTTGGCTTTCAGCCCCCACCTGAGAGTCAACAACCACCTGTAACTCCAGTTCCAAGGGATCAGATAATCTCTCCTGGCCTCCTCAGGTACCATGCATGCAGATGGTACACAGACATACTTGCAGGTGAAACACCCACACACATAAAACATTTTTAAAAAATCAATTTAAAAAAGAAGAACAAATATGGGCTGGAGGTGGAGCTCGGTTGATAGAATGATAGAATGCTTGCCTGGCATGCACATAGTCCTAGGTTGAATTCCCAGAACTGAATAGACTAAATAAACTGTGTGATGGTACATGCCTGTATTCCCAGCACTCAGCATACTGGAGGTAAAGGAAGGAAAATCAGGATTTTAAAGCCATCTTTGGCTACAAAGTAAGCACAAATCTAGCCTGGACTATATAAGACCCTGTCCAAAACAAAACAACAATAACAACAACAGAAATCAAAACCCGAACAATAAGTGGCTGGGGAAGTGGCTTATTGGGTAAAAGTGCTTGCTCCCCAGGTTTGACCACCTGTTTGGTAGGTAGATAGATATTGGAGCCCAGGTAAAATGCAGGGCTGTGAGTAGCTCCAACTCCCAGGCAGCAAGGGCAGGCTTAGTGTTCCATAAGGATACCAAGAAGGCCAGCATGGAAGGCAGACACTCCGAGGAGAGGACCAAGAGGGATTAGCAATACACAGCCCTGGGCAAAGGGACAGGGTTGCTGTTTGTGTCTTAATGCACTAATCTCTACAAGGGATGCGTTAGCGGCTGAAGGGACAAAGGGAAGGATGGAGGATTACAGTTGAGATCTGCTTTGTGCAAGATTTCCCTTGCTCACCACCAGTGGTATGATTAGCCCCTGTTTGCTGGGGGTGGGGGGATGATGAGACCTGGAGAGGCTCAGTAACCAGCCTGTGATCACGGACGGGGCTGTCCTGGTGCTGCTGAATCACAACTCTACAACTCTGCTTACATGTCATTAGTCCATCAACTCCACTTACTGTCTTTCATTTATTGTTGGAAGCTCATACCTCTTACGTTAGGTATGTTCGTTGGCTAAGCGTTTTGCTTTACCATTCCTCCCAAGGGTTGGCCCTGGATTGCTAAGTGCACATTCTACCACAGAGCTACCACCCCATCTATCAAGTTCTTGAATTATTTTTCAGTCAAGGTGGGCACAGCCCCTCTCTTATTGCTTGGGAACTTGGGCATCGTCATATTTTTCTACCTCCAAGGTTGCAAATTAACAACATAGTTATTGCTGGATTGGTAAACCAGACATCTTCAATTGAGTGCCCTGTCACGGTCTCCAAGATGCTGTAGGCACCCCTGGATTGAAAGGAAGTGCCAGCTTACATTAGCCCAGAAGCTCCCTGGGTGGGATGAATTAGTGAGGTCATGAAAAAGCTCAAGCATGTGGGGGTTTTTCAGACCCCAAACATTTCAGCTAATCTTTTCAGTGACAGAGAAACCAGGCATTTTACTACAACTCCAATCCTCATTCTCTTCAGAAACAGTTCGTAAATACTGCAGGGGTGTGGCAGTCCTCAGTGCCTGGAACATCTCCAGACCCAACTGTAGCCCAGGCAAAGATGGCAGGCAGGCTTGAGAAGACTGCAGGTAGGGATTGGGCTGCAAGTAGTTCTAAGTAGTTTTTGGAGGGTACAGGAAGGAGGTCAGGAGTTCTTCCTATACAGTAAGGAGGCCTAATGTTTAAGGGGTCCAGCCAGGGAGGGGGGCATACCGCAGGGTCAGGCTAGGTTTAGAGGAACAAAGAGAGAAATTCATGATAGTTCATGGGGTGTTCCAGGTCCGAATGCTAGCTTTTCATCCCTGGGACACCTAAGCTAGGCAGCTACAACCCATAAAGGGCAGTGGCAGTGAGAACTCTCTAGAGGAAGTGAGGAGTGGATTCGATTGCTCAAGCAGGGGAGGAACTCCTGAGGGTGTGGGATGTGTTTGATGTTTTGAATATTAATTCCCAGTCGGGCCCACAGATGGAGTCATCTTAGGGACTTAGAGAGTTCATTTTGGGAAGTGACCCAATGAGGTTTTCTAGCCCGTCTTTCCAGGTTTCAGCTGGGGAAGAAATAGGCCCAGATACAGGAAGGGGTTTGCTAGGGACCACACCTCCCTCTTCTTTGCTACGATCTCAAAGCCACTGGCTCCTGCTGCTGGGGTCCGACGCTCTGTACTCCAGCGGCCCCAAGCGGGTCGGTCTACCTTGCCATAGAGCCGTGCTGTCTCTCTTTCTGGTTTAGGTGGGGTAGTTCAACCAGGCAGCAGAGCTGGACACTGAGGTCCTGGCACTTTCGGCCACTCTCTACTCTCCTCCCTGGACTGGATGCTGCTTGTCTTCTCTCTCCCCCAAACCCTTCAAAAGCACCCAGATTCTTCCTCCTTGCTGTGTGCCTCTGAGCAGTGCCACCCAACGTGGTCTCCAAACCTTCCTTCCTTATCTTTTGCTTTTCTTCCAGCCTCCCGTGCTGACCACGGGCCCCGTTCTGGCTGTTGCTGTGCTTTCTTGACTCGGATACTTGACAGCGCGTTGAGGATGTCAGCTTCATGGCATTGCTGACCCACCCTGGGAGCCAACATCCTCTCCTTTGACACAGCCCTTTGATAAAAGTGAAAATCCCAACCCAGTATTGACTATTGTGGAATATTACTTTAACTACGTAAAGGTGTGTTACTTTTGTTGATGCTGCATTTGTTTAACAAAGTAAAGATGTAACACTGTAAAGATGTGCTGCTTTGCCTGCCTAAGGCACCTGATTGGTCTAACAAAAAGCTGAATGGCCAATAGTTAGAGAGATAGGCAGGGCTGGTGGGCAGAGAGAATAAATAGGAAGAGGAATATAGGCTTGAAAGAGAGGAGGGGGAGAGAAGGAGGGAGAAAGAGAGGGAGGTGCCCAGGGCCAGCCAGGCAGGCAGCTGCCAGACAGACAGACATGGAGTAGGACATACAGAATTTCCATTTCCTTTGAAAGGTAAAAAGCCCTGAGGCAAAAACACAGATGAAGAGAAACAGGTTAAATTAAGTTATAAGAGCTCATGGGACAAGCATAAGATAAGGCCAAGCATTCATAACTAATAATGTCTCCGAGTCATGATTGGGGAGCTGGTTGGTGGCCCAAAAGAAAGCTTGCTACCACTGACACATTTTGAAAACTTGACACCAGGGATGTATCTTGTCCCCTTTACTAGTAGTGATTACAAATGAAAGGATTACTAAATGTAGCGTCATGGACATCCATTATGTGCTCCCCTCCAAGCATGCCCAGGGGGCAGTGTTGGATTTCCACCACCTCTCGTTAGCTCTCTGGAGCACACACACTGGGCACATTCACTGAAGTGGTCTGCCCTAGGAAAACAGTCTTTGTGTCCAGCTTCAGGAAACACTCCTTAGTATGAGTCTGGTTTCTTTCCCCTGCTGGGAAAGAATGAAATGATACCGGGCCAGTGGGTGCTAAAACCTGGTATCGAAAGGGTGATTACCCATGGGTTGAGTGGCAGATGTGTGTGGCACACATACACACACACATACACACATGAACATGCACATACACATTCACGAACATGCATATATGCACACACACAATGCAGTGCTAGCTCGTACTATGATTCTTAGACTTGAGATAGTGTATCTACGGATGACTGTTCTCTCCCATCCCATCCTCAGTCAAGGTCAGGGAGAGTAGCAAGCCTACCTAGTTTTCAGGGCTGAGTCCCGTGAGCACCTTCACATGCTCTGACCCGCATAACAGTAGCCGTATTAGTTGTAATCTGGATGGCTGACTGGCTTGCAGCCTCACAGGCAAAGGCCTTTTCACCATTTATTTATCTTTCCGTCCTCACATGAGTCTACACAGTTGGCACGTTCTGGATGAGGAAGCCAAGTCCCCGGAGGTGAAGCAACTCACCTAGAGAGACACAGCTGAGCCAGGTTGTCAACATTTTTAAAGGGATTTTTAAAATCGGCTCTTTAAATGCCCTTTTGTCAAATGCCACAAGGAGCAGGATCCCAGCCTCAGCCAGCCTCACGTTTCCTAGGTGCATAGGTACCGCTTTGTCACAGACAATCAAACACCGTTGGTGTAGAAAAGGGGCCCAGATTGGACATTTCTCAATTACCCACTTCCGCTTTTCTTCTTCTTCTTCTTCTTCTTCTTCTTCTTCTTCTTCTTCTTCTTCTTCTTCTTCTTCTTCCTCCTCCTCCTCCTCCTCCTCCTCCTCCTCCTCCTCCTCCTCCTCCTCCTTCTTCTTGGTAC